AGCAAGCTAGAATCAATAGGAAAAAAACTGTAACATTTACAAATTTATGGAAAGTAAAACACATCTCCCCCCAAAACCCGACAGGTCAAAGAAGAAATGGCTGATTATTACACATTGCATACATGTGGCAAATGACCATGTGGTACCACAGAATGCTGTGCCTCTGTGTATCAGAACACTGACACTGTAGCTGAAACAGAGAGAAAAAAAGGAATCAAGGGCTGGAAGCATAGCTCAAGGGTTCGAGTACCAGTTGAGAGAGCAAGCCAAGTAAGCACAAGACCCAGAGTTCAAACCTCGCACAACAAGCAAGCAAGAATGCAAGGAAGAATGAAAGGAAGAAAGGAAGGAAGGAAGAGGTCAAAGAGAAACTAGAAGACACAGAGACAAATGAAAACATATCAAAATGGATGGGGCATAGTAAAAACAATGCTACAGCAAATTTCTATCGCTTTCAATGCTTGATTAAAAATCAAGACAGAAGCTAGGCACCAATGGCTCACACCTGTAATCCCACCTGCTCAAGAGGCTGAGATCTGAGGAGCGCAGTTTGGAGCCAGCCCAGGAAGGAAAGTCTGTGAAATTCTTATCTCCAGTTAACTAGCAAAAAGCTAGAAATGGAGTGCAGCAACCAAGTCCAGGTCCTGAGTTCAAGCCCCAGGACTGGCACCAAAAAAAGAGATAAACTGTTAGCTAAATGTAATAAGAAAATAAGAACGAAGAATAAAAAGGCTAAAATCAGAAGTAGAAGGGGGTTACTGCTACTAATTTTAATGGAATAGAAGCTTTTATAAGAGAGAACTATGAGCTGTCCTTTGCCAGGAAATTACATAGCCTAAGTAAATTAGTTCTAGAAACACAAACATTACCAAGCCTAAACCATGATGCCCTGGGAAGCCTCAACAGATCTATCATAAGGACTCAGTCATCAAAACCCTCCTGACAGCCGAGGGTGGTAGTGCAAGCCTGGAATCGCAGCGCTCAGGAGGTGAAGGCAGGAGTATTTTCAGTTCCAGAACAGCCTGGATTACATGGTTAAGAACTGCCTCAAAAACCAGATGAAACAAACCGAGAACAAAACAAAACAACAAATCTCCCGACAAAGGCCCTGGACTTGAAGGTGTCACGGAGAATTCTCCTAAATAATTAAAAAGCTAACATCAATCCCTCTCAAGTTTCTCCAAAAATATCCTCTATCAGGCTAGCATTAGAACCAGACGCCAACAATACAGGAAAAGAAAACTGTAGATTAATATCCTTTATGAACTTGAATACAGAAGTCCTCACTGAAATGCTAAAAACAAACTCACACAATGGCCAAGCGAGATTTATTCCTGAAATGTAAGGTTCACCATGAAAACATCAATCTACTCAATGACTGATCAGGATCTATTGTGGAAACGTGTGGAACTGTCACAATGAGCCCCCCCCCCCCCACTTCATATATGCGAAGAGAAAGAGGCTTCTTGCCTCTTCCTCAGAAAGTAGTAAAGGAGAGCTATGTCCTTTGGTGTGACAGCTCCACACTTCGCTGGTAATAATAGAAAGTGTTGAATGTAAAGTATATTCGTGAGTCATCTGTTATTTTGTACTTTCTAAACAACAGGGAAGGGAACATCTCCAGATATGGAATGTCCAGGGCACCTGAAACTTCCTGTCCTGAATCTTCAGGAAGGCGTGTTAGCTCCAGCCTCAGGACCGTCCCAGCCTTTCCAGGCCTTTGGGAAAGTCACTCCACTTAGAAAAGGAGGGCCATGTTCTTCTTAAAAATTATCTTGAAGTAGTTGTACAAAGGGTGTCCAACTCCGCACACATAACGATTTGTGAGCACAATCATTTGATCAATGCCATTTCTTCCAAGGTTTTCCAGGCACTGGCTGTCTGCCCCTCTGTGCACCCCGGAACACTGTGTCTCACGAGGAGCTCCCAGATTATTCCGTACATTACCTGCCCCCCCCCACCCCCAGCTTTACGAATTAGGCTTCAGCTGACCACAGTGCACTGGGATGCAGACAAACCTCTTTCTTTGCAATTCGAGTGGAAGAGACCCTGCCCTTCCCGCAGCATCCAGGCGAAGCTCACCCGGCGGACTGCAAGAGAAATGGATAAAATAACTGGGATCACTTGTGGTTGGTCACCGGCGGGACCCTGAGTGCCTGGGAGTGCTTAGCACAAAGAAGGCTGACAGGTGCTCACAAGAACTGTCAGTGTGGTGAAATGGGGTCTTGCTAACTTTCTACCAGGGCTGACCTTGAACTGAGGATCCTCTTGATCTCTGCCTCAGGAGTAGCTGGGATTACAGATGAGCGCAGTGAGACCCAGCTCTAGCTATCATATTGAAATACTTCAATCCTCAGACTCAAGCAATGACACCCGTGTCAGGATTCTGCATTCCACTTGAGATGACTAAAGCCGTCATGTTCATCCCGCCTGCAGACAGAGCCAGGTAGAGAAGGGAGAGAAGAATGTTCCTGAACTCACCCCGCCCGCCTTGATCTCGGATGTGGAATTGGATGTTAAAGGCGCAGCAGGAAGCCAGCTCTCTACCCTGCAACCACATCTTTCAAACCCGATTTCTGCGAGTAGAAAATTCTAAGCTCAATTTGAGTGTCACCACAAACTCTTCTGCGGGCTTTTGATTGTACCCACACATTCATGTCCAGAGTACAAACAAACTCACAGTGTTTACACTGAGTCCTAATGGAAGTCATGTGTCAAACCCCAGCGTGGGGGTGGGGAGGAGACCGCTGGCTTCAGAACGAGGGCGAGAGCGCAAGATATACAATATCTGTGGAAAATCTGGCTTACGAATGCAAACGCATTGTTTACCTGTTGGGTTTAATTATAAAGAACACGCACTGGGAGCCTTTGCCTGCAATTTCCGAAGTCTGCTTTGGGGGGCTTTTGGTTTGTCTCTTGCTCTGAAGTGTGGCCTGAAGCTATGGAAGTCTAGCTGCATCCACAGAATCTCCAGGAACACGGCCACACACGCGCCCTGTGATTTGCGGTCCCTTTGGGCGGAGCTCCCTCCGGCCTCCTGAGTTCAGTGAAGGTGGATGGGCAGAGACCTCTGCCAGTCCTCAGAGCAAAGCTAGCCTTGCTGCCGGGATGCTGCAAGGACCCGGATGAAGGCAAGCAGCAGGGATTGATTGAGTGCTGTGACTTTACCACCAGAGACTCGCTGTGCAGCCAGCCTCTTCCCACCATCAGGCATCCCTGGCGGCTCAGCCAACCACCCACAGAAGCTCTGCGGAAACAACAAACTAGCTTCACCCAGCCACCACTGCCCTCATACAAAGAACCAACCTTTCAGCTCACCACAGACCACCACGAAGACTTCAAAGGCAGTGTTCCCATCCGTAATCCTTGCCATTCAGGAGGCTGAGAGCTGAGGATCAAGATTCGAAGCCAGCCCAGAGGCCAAGTCCAGGAGGCTTTTATCTCCAACGGACTAGCAAAAAGCCAGAAATGAAGGTGTGGCTCAAGTGGCAGAGCATCACGCTTCAGTGAAAACACCACCCTGAACTCAAGCCCCAGTGCCGGCACGAACACACCCTAAAGAGACATTAAAGGAAGAACACAGTCCTGGTCCGCATGCCTCTGATGTGAGTGTGACAATTTTAGAAGGTCGAGTCGAATTGGAAGCTCTTTGGTAAAGTTACCTCTTCTCGCCTCCCTTCCGCCCTTTTTTTTTTTATTTTGTCGGTCATGGGGCTTGATCTCTGGGCCTGGGCGCTGTCCCTCAGCTCTTCTGCTCAAGGCTAGTGCTCTACCACTTGAGCCACAGCGCCACTTCTGATTTTCTGGTGATTTATTGGAGATGAGTCTCACGCACTTTCCTGCCTGGGCTGCCTTTGAACTGTAATCCTCAGATCTCAGCCTCCTAAGTAGCTAGGATGACAGGCATGAGCCAAGGGCACCCGGCTTTTCTTCTTTCTTTTGCAAGTACTGGGATTTAAACTTAGGGCCTTGAGCTTTCTTGCTCATAGCTGGTAGTTTACCACTTGAACAACACCTCCAGCCCAGCCTTTTGTTGGTTAATTAGAGATAGAGTCTCATGGACTTATGGCTAAGATGGCCTCCAACAGCAATCCTCTGGATCTCAGCCTCCCGAGTGGTGAGGATTATGGCGTAAGCCACTGTTCCTAGCTCCAGCTATCCTTTTATGAGAGGTAAAGCTCTCCCGCCCCTGCCCTGCGCACCTCATGTTCACAGGTCCCTTCTCCACCGCAGGGCCTGCGTAGCTACAGCCTCTGCACACTGTCCTTGCACTACGGGCTTCAGGCTTTCAGAGGCAAAGAGCCGACATGCTTCCTACTCTTCCCCTTGCTTTGTCACCTGACAGATCGGCTGTCTCCTGGCACTCAGGCAGTTCTGCTGGGACAGAGCCTTCGAAGGCCGTCTATTTTCAGTGAAGAGAGCCTTGCAGCAGGGACCTGATGACACACACATTCTCAATGGGATCCACAGACCTGTTCCTCCCACTAATCAACCAGCCCCGAACAAAGTTGCTTTTCCACAAACCAAAGTACTCTGTAGAGCTGAACTGAAAGATGGACAGACCCTCTCTAGGTAAGCTTTTCCTTCTATACTCAGCTTTCAGTTCCCAAGGCAGTCTTTACATGGTACGTAATAAAAGCTAAACGATCAAGCCAATCATATATTTGTAATTTTAAATACCTTCATCTTAACTGAGTGCCCATGGCTCAGATCCATAATCTGAGAACTGCTGCTCCAAGCCAACCTGGGCAAAAAGCTAGAAGTGGAGCTACGGCTCAAATGGTAGAGCACCAGCTTGGAGAAGAAAAACTAAAGAACAAGGCAGGCCCCAGGCCCCAAGTTCTGACCCCAGTACTAGTACCCCCCCAAAAAAAGTCCTTCATTTTAATTCAGAACTGCTGGTCGCTGGGTATGTTTTATATGACACTCATCTGTCTTGAGAAAAAGGAGTATGATATGATTATGTAAGCAATATGATATTAATTAAGGATGCATCTTACCTGTAAGTAGGTCTCCAAACCTTGTCGCCGTTGCTCCAAGACTTTTGGTACCCAGTTTCTAACGTGCTTAGAAGGGATTTCTGGAGTTTTTATACATTTCTTAAGCTATAAAGGAGAGAGAAGGCGGGGGAGGTCTGTTAATTTTAATGACATTATTTGGTAGGAAAAAAAGGTCAATAAAAGAAAGTAAACCATTGTTATACCCCATGGGGTGGGAACAGAACAATTATACTGACATACTGTCAAAAATTCTCTACTTAGATGTTTCAAGAAAAGAGTTGGTGTTTTGGTATTTACTGGTATTGACAGTCCAAAACAAAATTATTTTTACAAAAATTAAATATTGAACACAGGAGAGAAAACTGTAAGAAGCTAAGAAACAAATTCTTTACTTTTAATAAAATTATTTGGGGCAAACTTCATGACAAGAGCCTGTAATCCTAGTGCTTGGGAGGCAGAAGTAAATTCAGTACAATAAAATCTTGTTTGAAGTCTTTTTCTAGATAAAAAGTCCTACTCTAGGCTAGGTGCTGGTGGCTCATGACTGTAATCCTAGAGACCCAAGAGGCTAAGATCTGAGGATAAAAGTTCAGAGCCAGCCCAGGCAGGAAAGTCTGTGAGACTGTTATCTCCAATGAGCCAGCAAAATGCCAGAAGTGGAGGTGTGGCTCAGGTGTCAGAGTCAGCCTTGAGCAAAAATCCTGAGACAGCACAACCCGAGTTCAAGCCCCAGTACACACACACACACACACACACACACACACACACACACACACACACACACGGGAAGACTATATCACTATATCACTGTTGCTTTTATTTTGATTTAAAAAAAAAAATCCCATTCCAGGTTGACTGGCATGAGACAGGATTGTATGCAAATGTCTTAACCAAAGCGTGGGGCTAGCAGGAGGAATTCAAATGGTGTCACTCCTTAGAAAAGTGAACTCACAGTCCAACAAAATGAATACCAGAAAACTAGTTCTCAAAAGATGGGAGGGGTTAGGGGAGGGAGGAATGAGGGGAGGAAGGAAGACAGGAAGAGGGGAAGAATACAGTTATGATATTCAATGGAAAGTCTATGAAATTACAAGAACTGAGGGGGGGCGTGGGGTTGGGAGATTGGAGGAGAATGAGGAAAGGGGAGACCCCAGTCAGGACGCGCTGTTGAATGGTAACGCCACTGGTCCTTACTTAAAGATAATTTAACACATAACTTCAAAACACTAAAGTGTGTTTTCTCGCAGATGCAGAAGTTAGATCTAAATACATGAGGGCGTGATAAATGATATGGAACTGGAGACATTCACACTCAATGAGACCAAAGGAGGATACACTTAGGGAAGGAACACAAAGGCACAATGTGATTATATAAGGTAGTATTTATGGAAATGACCTCCAGGAAACGGAAACAAGAGGTTTTATCCTTTGTTTCTGTTTTCCTTTGGTTCTGTTTGTTCAGTTGTCAATCTCTGGGGGTGTAAGGGGCACAGAAATGGAGGGACAAAGGGTGAAGGGACGCGGTAGTGACACTCAGCGGACACCATGTTGAAAATGAACTCACAACAAGTGGGTGGGGTGGGAGGGAAACACTGGAAGAGAGCCAGGGGAGCGAAACATTGCTCAACAAGAAATGAGCTCCACCTGACTTATGTAACTGTAACCTCTCTGTGCGTCACCGTTAAAAGAACGATAAAAAATAAAAATTGGAAAAAAAATAAACTAGCAAGAACAGCAACTGTCTTCAATGTGTAAGGAAGCTGTCTGAGTGGCTACTATAAGCCACGGGCCACTTGTTACATAAGGGAGTCAGTGGTTCTGTTTGAAGATTTAAGTGGACCATGTGCCCAGGCACCGGAGTGCAGAGGAGGAAGCAGGCGCATGGGGTCTGTGTGCGGGGAGTCTGCTTATCTCGGGAGCATTGAGCAGCCAAGAGCTCACAGAGCTCAAGGAGCCGGGTTTCTGCAGAGCGGCCTGGCTGAGGGTGGCAGGCCCAAGGCCTGTGCATCTCCAAGCTCAGGCCTGGCACGCTGCTGCTTCCACAGGGCCGCCATGATGTGAGGGGCCCTGGGGTGGCCTTGGGGGGCCGAGGGCTGTCACGGCCATGGGCCAGCAATCAAAGTGACGGCGGGAGGTGTGGCTCAGATGGTAGAGCACCGGCCTGAGCCAGGGGCAGCATGTCAGCCCCGAGTTCAAGCCCTGGCACCAACACAAAACAAACGGAAACGCCTTTGGACAACCACTTGAAGATGATAAAGAAAAAACATCAAGGGGAACATTAAAAAAAAAAGCCTTCTTTCCAACGACTGAAACACAATGTTATCTTCTTTTTGAGAATTAAAAAGAAATCCATTATCTGTCTCCTCTCCTGTGATTCCTTTTTTTTTTTTTTCTGTCTTGAAGCTGCAACCCCAGAACCCGGGAAGCTTTTCCCCTTTTCTTCCCAGTGAGGACACTGGAGGAAGGGGAGGTGAGCGGGGCTGTGACACGGTGGAGGTGAGTAATGGATGGCTGCAGATGAGACAAACCCCAGACAATGCGTTTCCAGCAGGGCTCAGCTGCGTCCAAGATAAATACCCCTCTGCCACCCGAACACATGATTAACTTTCCCGCCACGCGGAGGCCAGGCAAGGGGCCCTTCCGAGCCACGCAGATAATAGCAGATCCCATGATACCCTCACAAACCCCCTTCCCTGAACTTGCCCCGTGCAGACCCGCCTGCCCAGAAAGGATCAGAAATACCTACCTCCAGCCCAGCCCTGAGAAGAACAGAAAAGCACCAAGTCTAAAGAAATAGGCATTTGGGGGTAACATCTAACTCCCTGTCCCCCCACCCCACAGTCAACCCTGGTTTTCTTGGGGATCTCTTCAGAAACAGAGCAGGGATGAGCAATCTTGGTCTGATGTCATCCAACAGTTTTCTGGATCTTTTTAAACGGAAGAACTTCATTGAACAGAAGAGAATGCACAACGGGACTCAAATCCCAAGAAGGCAGCTGGTGGTTCCCGCCTGTAATCCTAGCTACTCAGAAGGCTGAGATCTGAGGATTGCAGTTCAAAGCCAGCCCGGGCAGGCAAACCCAAGAGATTCACAGCTCTAATTGACCAACAAAAAGCCACAAATGGAGAAGTGGTTCAAGTTTAGAGAGCCAGCCTTGAGCAAGAAAGCTAAAGGAGTATGTGAGGTCCAAAGTTTAAGCCCCAGTACTAGCACAAAAACAAACGAAACACACGCGCACAAAGGGTTTCACTGAAAAATTGTGAATAAGGGTGGATTTGCAGGGAAGGTTTCCTGCCTTGCATGAGACCAGGGCTTCTGTAGGTACAGTGCTTCCCATCTACTGCCATTAACGATGGCAAATGACTTGGCTCTTGAAGGACCAGGACAACCGAAAACGCATGCACACATGCACGCGCGCGCACACACACACACACACACACACACAGAGTATCAGCTGTGATGACTCACACCGGTAGTTCCAGTTACTCAAGAGGATCGATGTTCAAGGCCATAAAGTTCCCAAGACCCCTTCTCAAACCACAGGCATGTGCAGAGGTCTGTGCCTGTTGTCCCTGTTCCACAGGGGTGGTAGTTCCAGGCCAGACTGGGCAAAAAAAAGCTGGAGAGACTCCATCTCCACTGAAGACGACCTGGGGCTATGTCTTATTCTGGGGAAGGCATGCAGTGTCAATAAGCCCGGCCTCAGCAAAATCTATCTCAAAAATACCCAGAGCCAAGAGAACTTGGAGGTATGGCTCAAGTGGTAGAGTCCCTGCCTCAAAAGCACAAAGTCCTGAGTTCAAACTCTAGTACTGCTTAAGAAAAGGTATCTTCTAATTCAACACAGTAAGGGTAACTAGGATTGAATTATCCTAAGATCTAATTTTGAATTCTTACATGGAAATTTGTATTTGAAGTCGGATAGGAGTTCAAGGAAGAGAGATTAGGAATAAAGGAGCTAGCCCAAGAAAGAGAAACCGAAATGTTCTGGTTTGTTTGAACACATCAGAGCACAAATAGCACTCAGCCTAGCAGACACAGCGTGCAGGGTGAGAGACAAGAATGGCTGACACTCAGTGTTCTTAGGAGAAACAGTAACAACCGAGGCTAGCTTGTAAGGGGTTTCAGACTGACAAAATCAGGGTTGCGTTAGATGCTAGAGAACCCCCTGTCCGGAATCAAGGAGTTTGCTCACCAGGGGAAGAACATGGGATTTAATTAAGGATCTGACTGACACCCACAAGTCCCATCTAGAGAAATCCTAGCTACTCAGGAGGTTGAGATCTGGAGGATCAATATTTTCAAGCCAGGCAGAAAAGCCCTCAAGACCCCATCTCCAAAATAGTCAGCAAAAGGCAGTGCTGAAGGCATGAGTCGAGCAATAGAGCATTAGTTGAGCCAAGCATGTGACTCTTGAGATCAAGCTAGATATGAAGGAAGGAAGGAAGGAAGGAAGGAAGGAAGGAAGGAAGGAAGGAAGGAAAGAAGGAAGGAAGGAAGGAAAGAAGGAAGGAAGGAAGGAAGGAAGGAAGGAAGGAAGGAAGGAAGGAAGGAAGGAAGGAAGGAAGGAAGGGAGGAAGGGAGGGAGGGAAGGAGGGAGGGAGGGAGGGAGGAAAGAAGGGAGGGAGGGAGGGAGGGAGGGAGGGGGGGGGGAGGGACCTAAATCATTGTGGGCCTGCATTCTCACAAGGAGAAGGGGGAGTGAGAGAGGGCTGTGTGGAGAGGAAGCTCTGTGAGGGAGCTGCAGGTGGAGGGGATTACTCTGAAGATGCAGATTAGCCAAGGCAGCAGGCCACCTCTGGCTGGGTTTTAAGGACTCGGAGAGAATGGAGATGAAATAGTGCGTTAGGAAAACTAGTCATCAGACAGGGATGGGCAAGAAGACAAGAATTAGAAATAATTAGAGCAATACTAATAGAAAGGAGAATGAAGCCTTGCATGGATGGCCCCACCTGTAACCCTAGCTGTATGGGAGGGAAGTTAGATGAGGAAGGCGGTTCAAGACAGTCTGTGAGATTCTCATCTCCAATTAACCTCCAAAAAAGCCAGGAGGGGAGCTGTGGTTCAGGTGTTAAAGCGCTAACCTTGAGCAAAAATGCTCAGAGACAGCGTCCAAACCCTGAATTCAAACCCCAGGACCGTCACAATGGATAGGTAGGTAGGTAGGTAGGTAGGTAGGTAGGTAGATGGATAGAGTATACTTCTATACTAGAATGGCAGGAGCACTAACTGGAAAATCAAGTGGTACATATTACACATTAACGAAATAAAACAGTAAAATCACTCACATGGGTAATTTTTTCATGAGGTATCTCTAGTTATTAAAACAACTGCAGCACCGTGACAATAATTTACAGCCTCAAAAATTAAATTTTGGTAAAAGATTTTAAAAAAAGTATGCATTTCTTGCCATTAGTGGCCCTGTCTCTGAGTTTAGTTATCCTTTCGCATTTCTGTGTCTACCATCTATGACTTTAGCAAACAGCTTGGGGGGGGGGGGGGATGAAGGGGTGACGTGATCAAGACGCACTGCATTTGCCAGTGACACACTGAATGAAACCCTCTGCACAACCGCGTAAAGACCACCAAAATAAGCTTTAAAAAGGAAAACAGAGCCTGGAACTGAGCCATCCGTCACGACCGGGCTGAGCCAGAGTCTCTTCTTCCTAGGTCCCGGCCCTTGAAAATGAGCTCGTGGGTGTGATGCTTGCCAGGAACATGTAGGTTGAATTCCATTAGTGGTCATGTGATTCCCCTGCCCGCTCTGGTTTGGTTTTGTTTTTAGTAAAGAACATGAAGTACATACTTGGGTAAAACAGGGTCTGATCTTTATTCTTTCTGACCCTCTGATTTCTAACACAATACACTGCAAATAGCACGTACATTAGAGTTACATACATAAGCAATCTTTTTTTTTTTTTTTTGGTCAGTCCTGGGGCCTGAACTCTGGGCCTGGGCGCTGTCCCTCAGCTCTTCAACTCAAGGCTAGCGCTCTACCACTTGAGCCACAGAGCCACTTCCAGCTTTTTCTGCTTGTGTGGTGCTGAGGAATCGAACCCAGGGCCTCATGCATGCAAGGCAAACACTCTACCACTGGGCCACCTTCCCAGCTCCTCTATAAGCAATCTTAACAGTAAGCCAACCTGCTCAGAAATCACATTCAACAGAGTGAAAGGTCATTTTAAAAGGAAATCTATGTCACAACAAAGAACCCATGCAGATTGGGTACTAGTGGCTCACACCCATAATCCCAGCTACTCAGGAGGCTGAGATCTGAGGATTGTAGTTTGAAGCCAGCCTGGGCAGGAAAGTCTTTGAGGTTCTTGTCTCTAATTAAGCACCAAAATTCTGAAAGTGGAGCTGTGGTTCAAGTGGCAAAGCACCAGCCTTGAGTGAAAAAGCTAAGATCCTGAGTTAAAGCCCCAGTGCCAGTACCAAAAATGCTCTTAGAACCACAGACTGGACTCTTCGCATGCATTACACATGTCACATACAGAAAAGAGAGGAAAAAAAACAAAATACAAAGCTTACCTTTTTGTGCAAGGCATGAAATTCACTGTACCTCTTCTCCACAAAATGTTTTCTTCCATTCATGAATACTTCTATCTTAAACACCTAAAACAAAATTAAAGCGAGATTAATTCTACTGGTTCAGAACCTTCCACTGTCTGATGGGGTAAGTTTGTGACCATGATATATTTCATCGCTCTAATTACAGCAGCTGATTCTCCCCAACCCCGAAGGCTCAGGAGACCTTGGCCCAACAGCGCTGATTAATGAGCACTGGAACCAAATGAATGAGCATGCCGGACCGGGTGTGGATGGGAGAGACCGTAGAGCAGCCCCCGTCCAGAGCCAGCGCCTGCACGGGCCCTCACCATGGCGATTTCAATCCAGGTAGCGCCGTGTCATCTGCCCGGCGATCATGCAAATACGACAGCAGCTAGGTTAATTTCCCCTAACCTGCATATTCATCTCTAGTCACCGCTGGGCTGATGGGGTAGTTTGCAACACAGAGGACCTGGAGTAAGGCTCATTTTCCCCCAGTGACATGAGTGACAGCTTGAGTCTCTACCTCCAGGAGGTTGAAAGGCCGCATGAAGGGCTCTAATTAGTAGGCACTAACATGACATTTTCTTGATTCTTGGGGTCAGTGGGTCAAGACTGGGAAGAGGGGATGAGAAATATTGTGAAATGCTCATGAAAATATAATGTTTGGGTCGGGTCAGGAGAAGCTTAGCAGGTGCTGTTGTTGCAAGCGCTTATATGTGATCCAGTGTTGCTGAGAATTTGTAAATAGCACGATGAATGGAAAAGTACTGGATTATTTGCTAAAGTGAATTTCTTGTGTGCCCCCACCCTACTACTACGGGAGCAGAAAGGTGTGTGTGTGTGTGTGTGTGTGTGTGTGTGTGTGTGTGTGTGTGTGTGTGTGTGTGTGTGTGTGTGTGTGTGTGTGTGTGAAGAGAGATAGAGAGAGAGGGAGAGACAGAGACAGATCTGATTACTTGAGTTGGGGTCTGTAACTACGCTGATCTGTAACTTGATATGAAGCCCAACACAGCTCTGAGCACATGGTTCTCCTCCTCAGCCTTACAGATCTGCCTCACTGTGCTTTTCTAATTCTTTTTTTTTTCTTTGTGCTGGTCCTAGGGCTTGAACTCAATGCTGTCCCTGAGGTTTTTCTTTCTTTTGCTCAAGGCTAGCACTCTACCACTTGAGCCACAACTCCACTTTCAGGTTTTTGGTGGTTAACTAGAGGTAGACTTTCCTGTCTGGACTGGCTTTGAACCTTGATCTTCAGCTCTCAGCCCCCTGAGTAGCAAGCATTACCAGTTCATTGGTGTCCTGATGTTCTGTTTTATTGTCCTTTTAGAAAAGAAAAGAAAAAAAAACTAATTGTAGATAAAGATGATAGAACATCAAAGTGGAGAAAATGTGGTTACTCTGCATAAGAACTACTACCAAATAGAGCAAAGAAACAATTTCACTACGAGAATAGATCCCTCTGGCTAATCATTCCTGTTTATATATAAATATAACTATAGCAGAAGACCAGAAATCATCATCAAACATAAAGCCTGCTTGTATATTTATACTTCTTTAAATTACAAACACTCCACTTCAAGCCTCAGTTTTAAATCAGTAGGGAACATTTATCAATTTAATCAATGTTTTTATATTGCTTTAAAAAATCAACTTTTCATTGGTGTATTAATGAAAAATATTTTCTTCTAAAAATATATACAGTGGAAAGCCATGGAGTGAGTTCTTCTGATCAAAATATATTATATGACCTGAGCAATGGTGGTTCACATCTGTAATCCTAGCTACTCAGGAGGCTGAGATCGGAGGATACGGTTCAAAGCCAGCCTGGGCAGGAAAGTGTGTATGACTCATCTCCAATGAACCACAGAAAAGCAGAAGTGGAGCTGTGATTCACAGAAGTAGAGCACTAGTCTTGAGTGAAAGAGCTCAGGGATAGTGTGCCCAGGCCCTGAGTTAAAGCCTCATGACCACCACCTCTCTCCCTCTGTCTCCCTCCCTTTTCTCTCTCTCTCTCCCTCCCTTCTCTCTCTCTCTCCCTCCCTCTCTCTCTCTCTCTCTCTCTCTTCATAGATAGATGGATAGATAGATAGATAGATGGATAGATATAGATAGATACCACACACATATCTCAACTATTTTTGAGGGGAGAAAAGTTTACTAATTCTTCTTCTTCAAGACCCTAGCCAGAAATGGAATCAGGCAGAGAAGCATCGGATGCAGCCCAGCCTGGCCATGGGCTGGGCTGGACGTGGCCGGTGAGTGGGCTACAGAGCCTCCCTTTGGTGTCAGGGCCTCATCCTTTCAACCAGCACCAGGGAACAATGAAAGCGGCGTCCATCTCCTGAGCTGAATGGGAAATACGTCCTAGGTCTGGCGCCGTGAGGCTGCATCCCAAAGCCAGCACTTTAACTGGCAGGTTTGCTGCAGACTCCAGAAGAGGAAGAGAATGGCTAGCGAGGCTCAGACTCCGGGGTGCTCCTCCGCTGCCCTTAGAAACCCACAATTTTAAGTCAAGTCGTTTATTTACTTTTTGGGCTGGGGCTGGGGCTTGAACTCAGAGCCTCTTACTTTCACTTGGCTTTTTTGCTCCAGTTTGGCACTCTACAACTTGACTACTTCCAGCTTGGGGAGACAGGGGTCTCTCAGACTTTCCTGCGAGGACTGGCTTCAAACTGCAATCCTCAGATCTCAGCCCCTGGATTGCTTCAAACTGCAATCCTCAGATCTCAGCCCCTGGATTAGCGGCAATTACAGGTGTGAGCCAATGGAGCCCAGCGTACAAATTTGAATTCTTAAGAAACTATTTACACAGAAATGTAAATGTAAATAGAAAGAGGAAGGGTGAACCAATGCAGCAGTGGTACTCACTAGACACTATGTTGCAAATAATGAACTATACAACTTGTGTGTAGGGACTGGAGAAAAATGGGGGAGAGTGAGGGAAGGGAGACACTGTCCAAAAAGAAATACACTCATTACCTGACTGTAACCAAACTGTAAACCCTCTGTACATCACCATTATAGTACCATCAAAAATGATTTAAAAAAAATACTTAGCCTGGTGCCGGTGGCTCACGCCTGTAATCCTAGCTACTCAGGAGGCTGAGATCTGAGGACTGTGGTTCAAAGCCAGCCTGGGCAAAGGAAGTCTACTCTTATCTCCAATGAACCACCAGAAAATCAGAAGTGGCGCTGTGGTTCAAGCAGCAGAGCATTTGCTTTGAGCTGAAGAGCTCAGAGACAGCACCCAGGCCTAGAGTTCAAGTCCCATGACAGACAAAAAAGAAAATATTTACCAAGGTTTTGCGCTCCTGGAATATGCTTGGAGGCAAAATGATGATGTTCATTTACTCTGATCTTTGCATAACCCACCCCATGGCTTGACCTAGCTCAAGTTGTCTCTGGTCTAGCACCGAAGAAACATGATGCGCCTGTCCCTGAAGGGTTTTACCCTCCAGTACCGGGGCAGCAAAGGACGAATGCAGAAAATAAACAGGAGCATGAGTGCAGATGAGGAGGAGGGAGCCGGGTACGAGCTGGCGCACTGGGGGAGATGGCGGCCTCCGTGCAAGGTCCAGCACACAGCATGCAGAAGACTGTGATACATACAGTGGGAAATGGTGTCCAAGCACAGCCCACAGGCCTCTCGTGCTTCCCAATTTAAGTTAAGCCACTTAAAAAACACATATACACACACACACACACACACTGCACAGCTGTGCAGCTTTAAATACTAAGTTTATTTATCAAAAAAGTTTACAATTTTGAGTATCAAACCAATTACGACTTCTTCCAGATCTAGACAATGGAAGCCTCCCCGGGAGAAAGGCGGGCGTTGGGCGAGGCCAGGCATGCTTCACCAGCAGCAGCTTTGGGAGCAGCCTTTCTGAGCCCAAATGGAAGGGGCTGGAGAGAGAGGAAAAGGCCACTCCAAGAGCCTTGTATTGATTTCTTTTACCCCAAACAGAGAGACTTCCTAGTTAATAGGATATATCATAATCACGTAATTTGTCTGACTGCTCTAAAAGAACAATGAATTCAAGAAAAGCTGTTCACTGGCAAAAATATAACTACTTTGCAGAGGTTTTTTGTTTTGTTTTGTTCATTGTTGTTCTTATGGGCTGCTTTTCCTTGGTAATATGACACATGTGTTCTCCATAGAGAAAGTGGAAATGTTCCCAGGAGCCTGTGCCAAATCTAAAGTAGCTGATATTGAAAACTCACGCTGCCCCAGCGCAGGCCGGACGGCTTTCCATTCAGCCTTCCCTCTAGAATCAATGTCTTAGAAATTCACAAGAAAATCACCTGTGAAAATCAGGTATGACCTCCCCCCCCATCACACACACACACACACACACACACACACACACACACACACACACACACACACACACACACACACACACACACACACAGTCTGCATAAACAGAGCATAACTGAATCTTGGGGCTTGTGTTCCCCATGATGAGTGATGCACAGACTTGCACTTTTTGATGAAGTAAAAAAGGTCACAGAATAGCAAATTAATGCCTCCAAGTCATTTCTTGTATGTATGTATGTACGTATGCATGCATGTATGTATGTATATGCTAGCACTAGGACTGGAACTCTAGGCCCGGGCACTGCCCCTTAGCTTTTTCTGCTCAAGGCTGATGCTGTACCCCTTGGGCCACAGCTATACTTCCAGCTTTTTGCTGACAGACTTCACTGCCCAGACTGCCTTCAAACCATAATCTTCAGCTCTGAGCTTTCTCAGCAGCTAAGTTGCTGGTGTGAAGCACAGTGCTGGGTCCCCATTCCTTCTTAATGTCCAGAGTGGCTGCTGAAGATTTACAGACTAAGCTTTACAGCATCATTCCAACATGAACACAAAACCACTTCTACCCTACAGAGGCAGGCTGCTTGTTGCTCAGAGATAAAGTCCACCAAATTCAAATAGAGCTGATGGGGGGGAAGAAAAGGTCCATGAGACCTACTAAGGAATTACTCTGAAGATACCTACGAAGAATAGAAACGGAGCTGGGTGTCTGTGGCTCAGACCTGCACGCATATCTACTCATGTGGCT